CCCCCCCCCCCCCCATCGGCCCGAAGCCGGGCGACAACGCATGGCGCGACAAAACATCGCAGCGCCCGGATCTCAATGCATTCCTCGACCCTCGAGGGTCGACCCCCGACGCCCGGCGTAAGCAAATTAGGCGGCAGGCCCGTGCGGATCAGGAGCTCTACGGAGTGAAAGCAGCAGCAGAGTGCCCAAGGATTAGAGCAACCATGCCTGCCGCCAACGTGGAGCATAGGAGAACATTCAACAAATAACAACCCTAAAACAAGACTACGATAACAAGACACCCTGACCAGAAGAAGAACAACATCATAAACATAAACTTCTGGCGCTCCGCGCGGATTTCTTGGATCTGCGCTGGACCCCCCTCCCTGGCGCGCGGAGCGCGCCAGGGGCGGCGCCGGAGGCGCCGCCGCGGGGGCCCAGCGCGAATCCAAGAAATCCGCGCGGAGCGCCAAAAGTTTATGCTTACGCCGTTTCTTCTTTTTCGACCAATGGGAACAGTCGACAAATAACAAGAATAACGACCCCCGACGTCGGGTCCCCCTCCTTGCGAGGGCGTCTCCGTCTTCCGCCTCTTGGCGGCGGACGCGGCCGCGCTGCCCGAGCTCCCGCCCGCGGGCTCCAGGCCCTCGAAGAAGGCCACCACCGAGCCGAGGCCCTCGCGGTTTTGGCGGGCGGGGGGGGGGGGCCAGGTAGGATGGGAGAGAAAGGAGGATGGGAAGGTCATCGTCCTCCTCCCCCTCCTCCTCCTCCTCCTCCTCCTTCTCCTTCTGGTCCTCCGCTGCATCTTCCCTTTCTCTTCCGCCCTCATCCCTGTTTCCTCATTCGCGTCCCCTCCCCCCAGACACCCCCTCGCAAGGAAGCAAGCGAGCGAGAGCCGAGCATCCAGACGGGCGCGTCGGCCGGCAAGGGTGCACACCTGGCAACCTGACGAGAAGAGGCGGGGCAACCGCCAGAGCAAGAGGGGCAGAGAAGGGAAGAGGGGAAGGAGCAGGCACGCAAACGCACACATGTGCTCAGGCATTCTGCGACACACTGTGCACTGCATGTGCCCTGTCTTGCCTTGATCGCCCGCGCCTGCGCTTGAGAGCCAAACCTTCGGCACCCCCAACCTTCAGCATCCTTTAGACCCCCTTGCGTCGTGACAAACAAATATGGAAAAAAAGGCGCACAGTCAAGCCGCATCAGAAGGCGCGATGAGGATGCAAGGGCCTCGGAAGGCCATGTTGACTCTTTGCGAGCGGGGCGCGGCCAACGAAAGCGGCCGAGGATGGTCCGAGGAGGCACGGATGCAGGGGTACCCTTTGGGAAGGCTGCCCATCCTCCTCGTGCGGGTGGCCTGCAAGGTGTTGGGCCTCTCCTGGCCTCTGGGGGGGGCCCCCGCAGAGCCCCGGGATCGTCAAGCAGCTCCTTAGGATGCCGAGGGCATGGCCCCCGCCGGGGGAGGGGCCCAGGGCCTCCGCGGAGAGAGCCGCGCCGTGACACGCCAAAGAGAAGCACGGCGTCGGCTGCTGCTGAGGCGGGCAGCCCCAGGGGTGGGGCACGGCACGTGCCGCAATGACTCATGGGCCAAAAACGAGACGACACCACCCCCACCCACGGCACCACGGTGTTGGAAATTCAAGCGCTTGCCCCGCGCAGCCTCGGCTCACTATCACGAAGACCCCACAGCGGCGTCGGGGAGCCCACAGGGCGGTCGTCACAGTGATGGGCGTGTTTTCCACCGCCACCACCATAAGTTGGAGGGGGGATCCTCCTCTTCCTCCTCCCCCTCCTCCTCCTCCTCCTCTTCCTCCTCCTCCTCCTCCTCTCCTCTTCGTCCTCCTCCTCCTCATCGCCCTCCTCCTCCTTCCCCCCTCTAACTTATGGTGGTTGTGGTGGAAAGCAGGCTCATCGACAATGAGTTATGCAGTCGGCCCGTAGCAGAAGGAGGCGCAAGAAGGACGCAAGGGCCCTGGAAGGCCGTCTCGGAGCTTATCGGGCGAGGCTCGGCCAGCGCAAGTGGGCGACGGTCAAAGAGGGGTCTTGCACGAGATGGCGCAGCGACCTTACGCCGCGGCTTACGCGGGCCGCTGGCGCGGCACGCTACATTGGAGACGAAGGCGCTTACGCGCGACCTTACGCGGGCAGCCTACGAGCCAATGTCGGCGAAGGCGACCTCGTTGATTTGCGTCGCTCAAGTGGCCAAGGACGGGCCGAGGAGGCGAGGACGAAAAGGGTACGTACCCCCAGGAAGGTTGCCCAGCCTTACCATGCGGGTGGAGCGTAATTTGTTAGAGGGACTCGGACCGCCGAGTTGCTCGACGGTCGGGCATACGCTCCCAGTTGGGTGAGGGAGCGACTGCAGAATTGATTTACCCGTTCGTTCGTTCGTGCCGTAGGCTGCGGCAGCCCGTGGGCGTGCAGACTGGCACACTGGCATATCAACTACGGACGCAAGCATGGCGCACTGTGTGGGGCCACGTGGAGGCGTCACTCAACCGCATGTACTCCAGAATTGATGTGTTACCCCAGACACTGACGTTTCCCGTCTATAGTCCACGGATGAGCCCGCCGAGCTCTCGCAGATCTGCGACTGTTCGACGTGCTGCTGCTGACGGTTCGGCGTGGAAATCAGCGTCCGAACAAGTCAACTGATGTTTCCCGTCCAGTCCACGGACAAGTCCGTAGAGCTCTCGCAGATCTGCGACTGTTCGACGTACTGTTGTTGCTGACGGCTCGGCGTGGGACTCCGCGTCCGAACACGCCAACTCTGCAGGCCGTCCCCTGCTCGACCCATGGGCTGGGGGGGCCCGTGGATCGGGCGCGCGGGTGGCCGGGTCCGCTGGGCGGGGGGCGCACACCCAAACCCCGAGACGTGACGCCGATGCCGCCTGATCTGGCGCTGGGTCGGGGGTGCCCTCCTGCAGGCGGGTTTTGGACGGAAGAATATAGAATACTCAGACCAATCATCAAAACAACTTGAAACTAGTTGAAGATGCCTCCTGTAGAGGGACGTGCCCCCGACTTCAATCTAGCGGCAAGGCGCGCCGATCTGGCGCGGAAGCGGGACCCGTCGCTGACCCACGCAGCTCAGGAACCCAGGTCTGCGCCTCCTCGAGACGAGACCCAGCGGCGAGTGCGTGTAGGCAGCGAACCCCCTCCCTCCTGGGCGCTCCCCCCTGTCGGCGCATCCCACGTTGGGACCTCCTCTGAAATCCGACGACGCTTCGAAACAATGCACCGTCGTGCAAAATCACGACCAGCTCCTGGCAACCAACAGGAAGACAACCTACAAGCGGGGATCGAACTGTCGATGGCAATGTCGGGTGCTGGAGGGACGAATGCGGCACCCGCAAGGAACCGATACCCCACGACGTGAAGGTCCCCGCCTTCCCGCGCGATCTGGACAGACAGTCTCCGCCAGAGGGGTGCAAAGTGGCGAAGCCAACAGAGACAACTCGCCTGGTCGACCTGCTTCTGCCCCAGACGGGCCCTTACAGCCCAGCCGCAGCCAGCACCGCCATCCGCCAGAGCTGGACCAAGGACGCCCGCCTCGGCGTTAACGCGGTGCGCAAGGGATGCGATGGGAAGCGCGACGGCTGCCTGGCCGCCGCGCCCACCCTGGCATGGCGGGGGCCCTCCACCGGGCATCTTCGCGTTCCGCGCGGACCAGGTCGGCAGGGACGACGTGCCGATGCGGGACCTGGTGTGCGGCCTTCCAGCCGACGGGGTTCATGCCTTCAGACTCTGAAGGCATGAACCAGGGAGGCGGCGACTCGTTTGATATTTTGGATGTGGGCATACTACTTACCAAGGTCCACACATCAAATAAGAATACGTTTCGCCAAGCGAAAGGTCACCTTAAAACATGCGCGCGTTTTCTGGTTCTACCCTCCTTCGTTTCCACACGGGGTAAACGCGAGCCCGGCAGAGAGAAGCCCTGGAACGCCCACCGGGCTCTGCGCAGATGGCCTCGTCCACACACCTGGGATGCTCGGCCCTCGCACGCGCGTGCCATCCTGGCCAGCGACGGAGCCGCGGCCGCCCCCGGAGAACCGTGCGCGCGTGGCGAGGCAGCGCCTGCGGCCAGGCTGGGCGCCGACCCTCTGAGCACGAAAACCGCCCCTGCCGACGCCAGCATACGGGACCCGACCGACGACCTGCACGTCGTTCCTTTCTGATCGCGCTCAGTTCTGATTGCGCTCGCTTATGATTGTTCCTGGCCCCCTGGTGGCCAGGAAGAGGCCCAGGATAGAAGACTTAGAAATGAAAGGACCTTGACCCCAAACAAAAATCAAAGAACTTCCGAATAATTAGACATGACAATGTGTGCAGATATCGGCCCACGGCCCAGCAGGCCGCCAAGAACGCGGACCTTCGCTCGGAGCCTCTGCAGGCCCCCAGCGGCTGCTTCCAGGACACGAGGGCCCTCCTGGACACAGCCAGAGCAAGCCAGCGATCTGCCCCCCCTCGCCGGGCGGGCGGCGCCGGACGCAGCCTGGAAGGAGAAGCGCAGTGTTAGGTCGGGCATGTCCTCCTAAAGGCGGAGTTTGGAATAACAATGAAACATAGTCACAAACATACTCCACCAACAACTATACAGACGTCGTCCCCGGACTCATTTTGACTATGTTTGAACGTTCCTCCTGTAGAGGGACATGCCCGATTTAAGCGCAGTGCGTCCATATCGCGCCGAGACGGCGCCCCAGGGTCGCCCTTCAAGCCCAAGCGCAAGCGCAAGGCCGTCGCAACCCCAGTCAACCCGGGCGGTGGTCACCATGATCGGGTACGACGAGGAAGATCAGCGGAGCCACCAGTCAACAGGCACCCACGGCCACCTCCGCCTATCGTGGAACGAACAATGACATAAACATCATTCTTCGTTCTCATAGATCAGCGGAGCCGTCGGTCAACAGCCACCCACGGCCACCTCCTCCGACAGGCCCTTGGAAGCCGCCGCCCCTGCCGCCAGGTGGCAGCTCCGCAGCATGGGCACCTGCGCTCCCGCCCCGCTGCCCACCGCCACCACTCCCAGAGATCCCGCCCCAGGTCCTGCTACAGCCGTCGACAGAGAAAAACTGGTCGACCTGGTTGGCTGCGCGCGCTGCAACTACGGCCCGGCCATCGACCAGCATTGGGTCAGCTTCTGCAGCGGGCACCTGGAAGGCCGAAACGTGGCCCCAGCAGCGCCAGAAGAGCCATTCCTACGGCGCTTCCTTATGTCACTGTGGGGGAACGGAACGGTCCTGGATGCCGGCCAATTGGATCGAGGCGCGTGGAGATGGGTGGGGCCCAGCCGGCAGCTCATGACTCATGCTTGCCCAGCTGGTCTCCTGGGCGGTTGGCCCACGTGGAGGGCGGCGTGCGGCCTGGGACAGATGCCAGCCCGATCTGCCAGAGGGGGTCGCCAAGTTCCCCATGTGGATGAGCGAAGATCTTCTCAGGGACTTCGTGCAGACGCTCGGCGCAGGCCCCTCCCAGCGGTGTCTCTTTGTGCAGGCGGGCGCCTCATGGCCAGCGCACCTGCCGCCATCCCTCCAAGGCGAGCCGCACGTTGTTCTGGCCCCGGCGCCTGCAGAGCCAGCCGCCGTGCTAGAGACCTGGAACCCCTCCGCCGCCTGCAGACCCACCGCTGGGACCCCCTCGCCGCGGCCACTTAGATCGACCCACTTTGCA